TTTACAGGAAGATACAATTTTATCTTGAAGAATACTGATATTTTTTTGATAACTTAATGCTATTTCATTTTTGATTAAGCGATTAGATGGAAGATGAAACTTTGGGTCAATTACTGCCATCATTTGACGAAATCCTTTTTTTCATGGTGCATTTAATGGTTGACTATCAAGAACAACCCAGTATAAATTTGGCACCCCAAGCCCTTTGGCTAGTTAAAGATTGTCCCACACGTTGGAATTCAAAATATCAATCGTAGAAAAGACTAATAAAATTAAAGTATGCAATTGTATAGTTAGAAGCTAATCTTAATATTTCACGAAATCTAGATGAAAAAAAGATGGTCAAAAACTTAAATATTGCTTACCTAGTGAAAATAAATGGAGGTTGGTTGAAGAGTTAACTAACATTTTTGAGCCATTTGACCAGACAACCAAAGTATTTAGTGCCGAAAAATACTCAACTCTGTCTGTTATGTATCTGATTATCAAAGTTTTGAAATCAGAATTTAATTCAAATTTATCTAGCATTGAACTGGATATTGATGAATGTGGTATTATTAAAGTTCATAAATTATATAATCAAAATAAAGTGCTATACTAATTCTAGTGCTATATATTATTATTTAAACAATGCCTCATCTAATATATATATATATACGTATTAATTAATAATTTTTTTTATTTTTTAGAATCTAATATAAATAATTATGATGAAAGCGATGATAATAGTGAAAGTGAAAGTGATGATAATAGTGAAAGTGAAAGTGATGATAATAGTGAAAGTGAAAGTGATGATACCAGTACTCAGCTACCAAAAACTCCCCTATTCAATTTGTGATTTTACAGGTTAAGCAAAAAATTTATAATTCTCTTCAGAAATATTGGGGAAATCTAAACAATGCAGGTCTCTTAGCAATATTACTGGACTCGAGACTCAAGAAAATATGCCCTTGGCCTAACTATATACGAGAAAAAACCATCAGATTATATCGTGAAGAACTTGATACTATTGCTAATGATAGACCTTTGCCTACTGCATCTCCTCAGGCTACCACTTCATCAACAAATCGATATTTCACTTCAATTTTTTATGATTATAGCAATGATGATTCAACAGATAATGAACTAGATAAATATATGGATATTAAAATAGTCTCTATTGCCCCACAAGATAAATCACCTCTAGAATGGTGAAAAGAGCGTGAGAAAGACTTTCCAGGTTTGAGTCAGTTGGCGAAAAAATATTTAGCAATACTAGCTATCTTGGTACCAACTGAGCGCTTATTTTCTGATGCCAGAAATCAAGTATATTCAAGACAGGCTTGTTTTGGTTCCGAAACTGTTTCTCAAATATTATTTTTAAAAAGAAACAGTCATTTAATTAACATTATATAAATTAAATTTTATATGATTATCAATATTTAAATTTAAATATACAAAATTT